TCTGTAGTTAAACAAGGTCCTCCTCCTGCACTAATATTGCTCATCCAAGTTACTCCCACGTTCGAATGTTCAGATGGATGCTCCAGAGGAATAAGGGTATTTTTGAGTCCTGCTGAAAGCAAACATCTGTTTCCCACTGGCATACAGCTCAAAGAGCCAGACCATCCTCATCAACCAAGCAATTGGATTAACATTTATCTGAAGGAAGAAGATGAAATTCTATACAGGCAAAATTGCTACCAATATAAGCATGCTGGGGTTTAAGGCAGATTGACAGTGGCCCATAAAATTGATCCAAGTTTTCTGGGCTACTGCTGAAACTAGCACTCTCCGCCTGAGATGTGCAATTGCGATATCTTATAGAGTTGCCTGGAGTATAAGGCCTTGAAACACTCTGCTGAGCACTGAAGTTTAAATCCAAAACATTTGTGTGGGTAAAAGAGGAGTGAAGGCAGGGCTCTTTTCTCCTCCAAATGAAGGCTGGGGGTGTGGAGAATAGGACTTCTAAGGCAAACCATATGTGGAAAAGTCTCAAAATGCATATTTGGCAAGCAACAATTTCAGGGAGTTTGAGGGAAGGACTCTCTAAATATTGGGATGTGATTTCAGGAAAATTCCAAATGCTCCTTTTTATTGGATATATATTTTTCCAAACAATTATATTATCTGCAGCCTCCACACGGTGTCCTAAGTATTGTTGTCTAGCACCCGAACTGCTAATCTGATATCCAAAAATTAAATTGTTTTAATTTGGGATATTTTTATTGATTTAACATTTACCAGTATAAGAAAATAAAAGTCACATACATTCTCAGGAGCTATAGGTAAAATTGCTACCAATCTAAGCATCCTGAGATCTTAAAGTCTTATTAACAGTGGCCCACAGGATTGGTTCAATTATTAGGACTACTGTAGAGAAAGATTCATTCCATATAAGATGTACAATTAAATGGGTATCTTATATAGTATAAGGCCTTTAGTACTGCTAGATACTAAAGATATGGACATTTTTCATATTAGACATTAATATTTACTTTACTTCACCTTTGTGAATCATTATAACCTTTTTTCATTTTTCATTTGGCATCTTAATGCTTTAAAAATACATATTAGAGCTGTGCATGGTAGCATACACCTGTAATCCCAAAGACTTGGGAAGCGGAGGCAGGAAGATTGCAAGTTCAAGGCCAGCCTCAGCTAATTTTAGTGAGACCTTAAGCGTCTTAGTGAGACCCTATCTCAAAATAAAACATGAAGAGAACTAGGGATGTGACTCATTTGTTAAGCACCCCTGGTACCAAATATATACATATATATTTTTCATACTAATATATGTGTGTATATCTACACACACACAGACACACACACAGACACACATATTAGTATGAGGGGTTTATGGAGAGTGACTGCTAAAGGGCATAAGGTTTCTTTTGGGGTGAAAAGTTTCTAGAATTGATTGTGGTGATGGTTATACTAAAAAACATTGAGGTATACACTTCCAATGGGTGAAATGTGTGTTATGTGAATCTCTCAATAAAAATGTTTTTTAAAAATCAGAATAAATCATTTCCATATTAAAATAATAAGCCTCTTTAAAAAAAATTGATTGGCAACTTTCCCAATCTCAATTACCTTTTGTTTTTTCATAATCAGAAGATACATACCCTTAGTTAAATCTCTAGTCTGTTTAATCTTTTCATTGCTTTTATTTGGAAAATTTCATCACATCCAGATAGTCACTAATATGTCCTTCTAGCTCATTTTCATTTTCAATCCATCTGAACTTTGGTGTACATTATGACATTATAATCTTATATTCTCCAAAATTACCCTTTCTTTCCTGTTTCTTTGAAATACTTCATTATAGTATCATCCATTTCCAGCCACTATGGCATCAGTCTGAGAGTTTAATGTGCACTAATAGTATATTTTAATATTTATACCTTTAAAATATGGCTTTACATATAGTATTCCAAGGCTTTATTTCTGGTTCATATTCCTAAGTATTCTTGCAATTTTATTTTTGTTTCAGAGGAAATTTAGCTAATTTTATCAACCCATTGAGAAAACAAGTGGACTTGCATTTACCAATGAACCAATTTGGAAAAACAGGATATTTTTAAAATATTTAATTTTATCAGCTAAGAGCACAGTGCATTTTTCCATTTATGTGGGTCTTCCGTTTTCTTCATCTAGGTCCCACACATCTTCAGTTTGTCTATAAATTTTGTAGTTTGCTGCCAGGATGAATAGTGACATATTCCCATTAAGATCACTCACTCTTCCTGCTGGGACTCGCACCCAGGCATGCTTTGCCACTGAGCTACATCCCCAGCCCTTTTTGAGTCAGGGCCTGGCTAAGCTGTGGAGGCTGCCTTTAACCTCTGATCCTCCTGCCTCTGTTATCCTCAGTGTGTCTAGTTAGGATCCAAGTCCTTGGTGTCCTGAACAAAGAACTGAACAAGACACACACAAGTCACAGACTAAGCGCAGGTTTATTGATGGTGAAGATGGAGGTAGCACTTTGTATGAGAGTGGAGTGAGCCAAGCAAATGAGAGAGACTCAAGGCCCCATGGCTGGGAATTAGTGTTTTATATGCTGAACTGATGTGTTGTGTTTCCTTTGTAGACCTGATTGACGACCTTACTTAACCTTATGATACCTGATTAGAATATTGCCCACTTTACCCCCATTGGTCATTTTAAAATACCGAATCTGTGTTGTTATGGTGATAAGTCCTCAGTGGCAGGAGTTATCATGGTAATGGCTTATTGTAAACAGGGACATGACTCCTTTCCCTGTATCACTGTCTGGTCCTCCAGTGGCATCCTTCTTATACCCTTCCTCTGCCATCTTGGTGTCCTGAACTCACCTAACACCTTATCCTCTCAAGTAGCTAGGATTACAGGCATGCACCATTCGTTTGGGTTCTAATGTATCAAAACAATTAAGTCAGTATTCTAATGACAAGCCCCTAACATTAAAAAGTATGTATTAATGAAATATGGGGTTAGCAATATAGCTTAATGATTCAGTGTTTGCCTGTCCAGCATGTATGAAGCTCTGGGTTGTTACTTTAGCACTAAAAAAAAAAAAAAAAAGTGATAATAATAATAAATTTTATAACAGGTTTTAAATGATATGTATTCAAGTTAATAGAAAGATATGAAACCTATCAATTTTACCACTTTCTAGAATGTGTTGCATCCAAAATGGGGCTCACTCAAAGGGGTAAAAGGGGTTAACAAAGCATTCATGATGATATTCAAAACAAACTATTTGGGTGGGTTTCCCTTTTCCCTCAGCTGTGCTTAGCTACATCTCTAGCCCTTTATTTATTTAGTACCAGGAATTGAACCCAGGGGAGCTTACCCTCTGAGCTAAATCCCCAGCCTTTTTTATTTTTATTTATTTTATTATTATTATTATTTTGTGTTTGGTGCTGGGGATTGAACCTAGGGCCTTGTGCATTCTACAAACTGAGCTATATCCCCAGCCCCCAGCCCTTTTTATTTAGAAACAGGGTCTCACTAAGTTGCTTAGGGCTTTGCTAAATAGCTTTGAACTTGCAATCCTCCTGCCTCTAGAGTTGCGGGGATTACAAGTGTGAGCTACTGCTCCCAGCTTTTCGACAGGGAAGTGTGCAGGCAGGCCTCAAACTTGCGATTCTCCTGATTCTTGTTTAAAGTCTAATGTTCAATGACAAGCCGTCACAATTATACTATTAGATCTTTGGCTGAACAGTATTAACTTAGCAAAGTACTATAATTTTTTTTAAATCATTTACTAGGTGCAAGACAGCACTCTAGTAACCCCAAATCATCTGTAGTAACCCCCAATTCACTATTTTGGTGAAAATGGAGAGAGTAAAAACCATATGCTATAAATAATACCAACAATCAAAACATCTGTCTGAAACTTGAAGTCCCTTCCCAGGCCTTCCAATAGGCCTTTGTGGAACAAATAGCAGACCTCTTCTCTCCTCACTGAGGCGTGAGAGGGGGATGCTTAAAACTACCAGGCTAAGGAACAGTCAACAAACATACAACACAGAGAGCCAAGGTCAGGGCCAGATCTTCTCAGAGCACAGATGACCTTAGGATACAACCACCTTGTGGACCTGGATATAAGTGGATCCAATGAGTAAAAAAAGTCTTAATTTCTGGGGACAGTGTAAATTGCTGGAGCTTAAAAATCTGATCATGGGGCTGGGGATGTGGCTCAAGCGGTAGTGCGCTCGCCTGGCATGTGTGGGGCACTCGCCTGGCATGTGTGGGGCGCTGGGTTCGATCCTCAGCACCACATAAAAATAAAAAAAAATAAAATAAAGAAGTTGTGTCCACCAAAAACTAAATCTCTCTCTAAAAAAACAAACAAAAAAAATCTGATCATGTGCCTGCAAAACAGCCTAGATTCCTTCTCCTCCATCCATCCCAGATCTGCTTTACCTTTTCCAAGTTCTTAGTAATAATTTAATAATTACTGGCAATCAGAGAACCAAGAGAGCAATATAAGGGCTCTAACAATTTGCACAGCTTGATAGAGAGTCTGGGGAAATTAGTAGGGAAGAGTACAGAGAGAAATATTGGGGAAAATTAAGCATTACTCTTTGTAGAAACAATAGATAAAACATAACAAACAACAACAAAACCTTGAATTTCCTTCTTTCCTCCCTTCCTTGACAATCGCACTATGTTGCCCAGGCTGGTCCCAAACTCCTGGGCTCCAGCAATCCTCCTACCTCAGCCTCCTGAGTAGCTAGGATGACAGGGGTGCAGCACTGTTACCCTGCTGATGCCTTGAATAACTTAATAATCCAAGTGATGCATAGAAATTGTCGTGTTTTTTTTTTTTTTTTTGCTTTTAAAAATATATGTGCGTTGTTATAAGCAAAAATAAGTCAGAAATAATAATGTTAAATCAAACCTATTTAAGATGGACTACAGACACACCACACAGTATAATTTTAGAGCAGAAAGTAAAATGTTTACAAGAATCATTTAAAGTAAAATCAAATTTTTATTCCAACAAATATAATATCCGAGATAAATTTATATTCTTGATTGATTATTGCTATAAATTTCTTCATATCAGGAAAATTGTTATATTTAAAATCCTTAAAATAATTTTGGCACAAGTCAAATCTCGTTTTGTTAAGTCCCTGAGCTCTTTAACAATCCCTGAGGCTGATTCCTACATTGGCCTCTCTCCCAGCCCCATTCTGGTCTCGCCTCCACAATGCCTTGTCACCGTATCCAGCCCCCAGTCACTTTAAGTGCCCCCCTCATGTTGACTCTAGATACTATAGGAGAATCCTCACCCCAAAGAGGACACCATATAATCCTTCTTATTGTCAAGGCAGAGAAAGCAGATGGGGGTATGTTTTGAGTATTTTTCTTATTGTTCCTAAAATTTGCCTTCAGAGGTCAGTGTTCTAACATCTCCAGGGCTTTATGCCTCAGATGCTCATCCAAACACTGAACAGCAAAGAGATCGACGTCCAGGTCAAACTTATTGGCAAAAAAGTGGTGCTTACGTAGTATCCAGTTCAAGTCGCCAGCTCCGAAAACACACACTGAGCGCACATGGACCCCGTTGCAGGGTGGGTAAGGTGCACCCTGGGCAACGTCACCTTCAAAGTACTGCCACTTGACAAACCTGGCAACTGACTGCATGTCAGACAAGTCATACTTGTGGCTTAAGGACAGGGAGCCTGGGACCTCAGGGATCCTCTGAATAGTGGCCCAGAGATACTCATCTGGGCTGTACGTGTCTTGTGCCCACTCCATGAACTTTTGAATGTTTTCATTCTCTAGCACATACCTCACGTACTCCCTACTGACCACAAAATAGGCACTGCCCGAAAACAGAGGTGTTTTGAGTGGAGGATGCACTTTGACAGTCCCCGTATTAGTCAACTTTCCGTTAATGACCACATGATGCTTCTTCCACCTTTCTTCTTTATTAGATGGCATCTTTTCCGTTTCCAGGTTGTTTTCACCCATGAATGACTTGAGCTTCCTGACAATTTCCAGGTTGGTTTTAGTAGGAAAATCTAACCCACAAAGATTGATCAAGTACTTCCAATTGGCACTCATTCTGTAGAGGTCCTTCATGCAGTTGAGATCGGCCTGAACCCGACTCCAGGATGCATAAACTACATTCTCCAACTGACTGGCCACAAAGACGTTACTGAAACAGGATGCGATGCCCATTACCGCTGCTATAAAGGAGTCCTCTGATTTTTTGTCTACATGAATGCAGTAGAAATTCTGAGGCATATAGATGGCCCTCAGGAGCCTGTCAAGCATTTCAATTTTGTGATGAACCACTATGGAGTATGCAATTGGGAAGTTTTCCTCTTCTTTACTAAGAGGTTCTACAATATATTTACGCATCTTAATGAATGAAGGGCAGTCACTGGTCATGTTTATATAGTCAGATGGTGTCCACCGAGGACGTTTTCTAAATTTCACTGTTAGCATCTCAAGCTTTACCTTCTGGATTTCATTTGCATCACCCTGCAAAATTTTGGTGCAATTAATATTATTACTAGGATTATCTCCAACAAGCTCCAGGTGTCTGACACTTACAAATTCAGGCTTCTGATGAATCCTTACAACAGAGAAAGTTATTAGGGAAAAAATAAGAAACATAAAATAGTATTTAGTGGGACAAGAAAAAAGTCTCCTCCGCCATAAATTCCTCAGCATTTCAAATGACAGTCCGAGATTTTCCTCTAAGTGATCTTCTAGGCTTCCAGCACCAATGATCTTCCTTCTGATTTTCTGTCCAGCGTGGCCTTAAGAGTTGCCAGTTTGAATTTACCAGAAGTACAAAGGCATCTTGAAAGTGACCAACAGCACTAAAAGAAAAACAGAAATGATCTTTATAAATATAGAACTCAAGAACCGTGCTATTTGTTATGAGGCTGTAACAAAACAAAAACAAAAGTGGGTTAATCAGCAAAAAGGGAGTTTTACAGGAAACCCACAGTCTCCAGTATTAAAACCACAAGTTGGAGGAGGAAAAACCTAACAACCCCACCCAGGCCTAATGTTCTAAAATATTCCACAATAAACACTTTACCTCTCAGGTACACTGAAGTGCAAAACATAGTGGACGATCCACCTGTTGAACTGTCCACACTGGGCAAGTTTTTGAAAGTAAGCCAATTGTAAGAATTAGCACACCTTCTCTCTCTCTTTTTTTTTTTTTTTTGGCACTGGGGATTGAACCACTGAGCCACATCTCCAGCTCTTTTTTATATTATATTTTATTTAGAGACAGGGCCTCACTAAGTTACTGAGGCTGGCTTTGAACTCATGATCCTCTTGCCTCAGCCTCCTGAGCCACTCGATTACCAGCATGTGCCACCAAACAAGCTAGCACACCCTCTTCTTGAAATGGTTACACTAATTTCAGTTCTTCCTGACATCTATTAAAGTCCACCACGTGGCATCAGCAGCCATAAGATCTGAAGAGATCAGATATCCACTTGGCTTTTTCCTGATTTCGGATTAGGGCTACACTTAGAAGTTCAGGAATGATAGGGACTTCAAAGGATCTTTGAAAGAAGGGAAAGTAAACTGAGTTTTCAAACTGAACCAAAGGGCTCAGCTAAAACCAGACCAGATTTGGGACTGTGTTTGGGTGACCCTACATTTAATCTCAGTTCCATGTCAGGCACTATATGAAGATACAGCCTGAATTTCCTAAACTGAGTAATTATACTAATTAATACTAATTATAATTATAATACTAATTATAATTATTAAGCCCTCAGAAAAACAAGAGCTGTATATGACAGAACTTTTGTCTACTTTCTAATTTTTACTATATAAAATGCTTTAAAAAAATTCAAGTATTATTTCATTTTTTAAAAACAACTTTATAACTTGACAATTGGTTCTATAACTAATAGGTGCTATTCTGGAAAAGAAGATCAAATACCATTAGTTCTGACCATACTAGATTTAAAGAGATTTGAAATGAGTTTTAAACAGCAGAATTAACACTGATACTTTAAATATTTCATTAGGAAGTCAATTGTGAAGATCAATAATACAAATGAAAATAAACAGTTGGCCATTATTAGTTTAGAATAATGTTAAGAAAGGTATTCAGACTTTTTACCATTGAGAACTAAGGAAAGTGTGGATCAATAAGTGCTGAGATTCTTGGTAACATCCTGCACCCCTTCAGAGTACCTCTCACTGCCAGTTTTCTTCAGTGAATCAGGCATCCAGTGATGGTAATATGTCCCTTGAAGCTTTTTTAAAAGTCTGTGAAATGAAAAGGGAAATGCATGAAGGGATATAACTATATGTGTACTTGCAGCACACAAGAAAGCATGCTGGTTCTCTTTGTATAGATGTACTTTTTTTCCCCTCAAAATTATGGCAGATTTCTATCTTTTAAAATTTGCTTCTCTATAATTGTATTTTCCTAATGCTAAGGTTGTGGTTGGTAAAGGTGTGAAAACATACTGACATTTAGATCTCCCCCCAACACCTGAAGTGTTAGGGGATCGAATCTGGGGATTTTGCATGCTAAATAAGTGCTTTACCACTAAGTTACAACTCCAGCCATAGGCTGAGCATTTTGAAAGGAAGCTCTAGCAACATTTCCCAAAATGTGTGACAAGGGACAGTTTAATGTTCAAGATGATTGGAAATCCAACATATCCCACCCTCACTGTGAAACTTCCCAATGCTCACTGGCATATTAATGACAATCCTGTAATTGAATAAGCTGCTTGTCTCATTTTCTTCCAACTACCTTAACTATTAGAAAACAAACAATTCTGGTAAAATAAGGAATTTCCATCACTAAAACATCAAAACAAGAAACAACAATGTGCCCCTAAGCAATTCCTGCCCAATCTTTAGCAGAACATGAAGCTACAGCAGAGCCTTACAAGGGCCTCAAACTATAAATATAGAAAAACTCATCCAAAAAGTCACTAAACAAACACAACAAGTCCTGGGCAGGGTAAGAGTAGAGGTCTGCTTGCTAAAATTGACATATTATAAAATGTCCAGTTTCAGCAAAAATATTACAAGGTATGCAAAAAACAAAACAAAACAAAAAACCCACAAAAGTTCAACCCACATATAAGGGGAGAAATAGTCAATAAAACTGATCCCCAAGGAAGCCCAGGCACTGGATTTAACTAAACAAAGACTCAGAATGACATTTAACCAGCTGAGAACTTTAGTAAAGGGAATTTACAAAACAGAGCCAACAGAAGTCTGGAAATGCACAGTTAAAATAACTGACTGAAAAAGCTGGCTGTGGAGTTCCAACAGCAAGTTTGAAATGACAGAAGAAAATTCAGTGAAATTTAAGACAGGCCAACTGAGAATATATATAGTCTGAGGAGCAACAACAACAACAAAAAAGTAAAAAAAGTAAACAATGCCTCAGAGAACTGAGACACCATCAAGCAGACCAACAAATAGCAATTAGAGTCCAGGAAGGAGAGTAGAGAAGAGGGAAGAGGGGCGGGGGCAGAAAGAATATCTGAATAATGACTAAAAACTTTCCAAATCTGACTTTAAAAATACTCATCTGTACATCCAAATAGCTTGAAGAAGTCCACATATGCAAAATGGTATAGCTGGTTTGGCAGGCAGTTTGGCAGTTTCTCACAAAGCTAAGAGTAGATTAACCATTCAATCTAGCAATCAAAGTCCTGGTACTTACCCAAGATGAGTTATAAATGGATATGTACACACAAACCTACATATGCATGTTTTTAGCAACTTTGTTCATACTTGCCAAATTTTTGAAGTAACCAAGATATCCTTCAAGAGGTGAATGAATAAACAATTTGGGATACATCCACCTAATGATAAAAGGAAATGAGCTATTTAGCCACAAAAGATATGAGGAACTTTGAATACATGTTGCTATGTGAAAGAAGCCAGTCTGAAAAGATTACATACTCTATATGATTTCAATCATATGACATTCTAGAAAAGTCAACACTACAGAGACATTAACAAGATCTGTGTCTGTTACAGTTTTGGAGGGGAAAGGAGGAAGTGATTAATAGGTAGGGCACAGGTCAGTTTTTAGGGCAATGAAGCTATTCTGTATGATACTGAAATGGTGGCTAACTGATGTTACACATTTGTCAAAACCCACAGAATAAAACACAGAGTGAATTGTCAATGAGAATTATCAGTAGTTAAGTGATTAGGGCTGGGTATATAGCTCAGTGGTAAAGCACTTGCCTAGCATGTACAAGGCCATAGATCTAATCCCCACAACACACACACACACACACACTGATAATAATGCACAAAGGTGCCTGAGGGTGCAACTCAGAATGCTTTCCTAGCCTATGCAAATTCCTGGACTCAATCCCCAGCACTGTATTTCTATTTTTTTAAAAAGTAGAAATACAGATTCAATTCTAACAAACATACCATACTAATGCAAGATGCTAATAATAGGGGAAACAGAGTGAGGGGGTATGTAGGAACTCTGTCCTTTCTATGAAATTTTTCAGTACACCTAAACTGCTGAAAAAAATAGTCTACTAAAACCAAATAAAAACTAATTTGCAGCTGGGCGTGGTGGTGTACACCTGCAATCCCAGAAATTTGGAGGCTGAGACAAGACGATCAAAAGTTTGGGACCAGCTACAGCAACTTATCTAGACCATCTCAGAATAAAAGATTAAAGCAAAGGGGCTGGAGACATAGAATGCCCCTAGGTTCAATCCCTAGTACTTTAAAAAATAAAAAATAAATAAAATCACAAATCCTAGTTCAATGAGATCCAAAGAGTACAATCTCAAAAACACCTTTACGTAGGCTCTTCATAATCAAACTATTGAAAAACAAAGAATCTTGAAAATATAAAATGATTATTCCATGGGTCCTGAAAAATCACTAACAACTTCAAATAAAAAACAATGGGTACCAGAAGATAGTGGATGTTATATTCAATATGCAGAAAGAAAAAGACTATCAATTGTAAATTCTATAATTAGCAAAATCATTCAAAAAAATGAGAAAGTAATACACTCCTAAATAGACAAAACTAAGAGAATTCACCAACAGAAATACCCTCCTAAAAGTACTAAATGGAGTCCTTTAAACTAAAATGAAAAGATGCTGGATGGTAACTCAAATCCACAGGAAGAAATAAAAAGCAGCAGTAGAGGTATATAAGTAAGTAAAACATACAACAGTACAAAAGTTAATTTCTTTGTAACAATTTTCTTTTCCTATTTGACTTAAAGGACAAACACACAATTTAATGAGAGATGTTTTGATTTTATATATTTACCACCATGGTAAATTCAGAAGGGAAATCATTAAAAGAAATTTTAATTAACCATTAACATACTTTCAGCACCTAGAACATTTGCCCACATAAAAATTGGCTAAGAAATGGGAAAACACAATTTCACACAGAAAGGATTCCAGGATGAAAAGAAGTTTCAAGAGAAATAAAACTTGCACATGGTATATAGTATTTTAATGCACCTTCAGTCATCCAAAAATTTTTAGTTTAACTAGAAAACACTACCTAAGAAGGAATGGAACAAAATAATTCTCCATGCAAAGAAAAGTCGGCACCTACAAGCAATGACCCTTCATCTGTGACTTTAAAAAACTAAAATGAGGAAGTATAAGGATACTAAGTTCTAAAAATAAGAAAACAGATTCTGTTCTTTTATACTTCTAATAACTAGGAGAGCAGGTCAAGGAAGAGGACCATAAAAAAAACATCAAGTGCTCCTCTGGTGACCACAGAGTCAGTCGCTACAAGTGTTTGAACACAAAACTAACAACCTCTGGGTCAAGGAAAGGGTGCTTTTGAGTACTTGATGGAATGTGAAGGCAGGCAATGACCCTGGGGGGAGAGAGAGGAGGCAGAAAACAGAATTGGAGTAGTAAAAGGTGAGAAGTAACTGGTTAAGCAGACCCATGAATCCCTGCCTGACTGGAGGAACCAGCTCCAATTACACTACAGGATCTTCAAAGGGCTCAGGAACCAGAGACCCTGCAGCTCTGAAGGGAGACTTGGCAGCTGTTTACAGCGCAGGTGGGTCTTCACCTCAAGCCTGGCAGAGGTCCCCAGGCTGGGGCATACCAGGCACCAGGGAAGGCAGGGTTCCCATCCAGCAAACAGGATCACAGGCACAACATCTTCCCCATTCCTAACCCCTCTCAGTTCTCAGAAACATGTCAAGCCAAGGAAGGAGTTTCATTTACTGGGAAATCCAACTAAGCCAAGAGAAAAAATAACTGTGTTGTTTACCCTGGGAGTACCTTAAAGTTCAAAGGAAGTGGGCTGTTTGGGGAGAAGAAAACTATTCATAATATAGTCAGATAATGCTTTCAATAAAAATAGATAGCTGGGTATGGTGGCACACACTGTAATCCTAGTCACTCAGGAGGCTGAGTAGGAGGACTGCAAATTTTTGATCAGTTTAGTGAGATATGTCTCAAAATAAAAAATGAAAAAGGGGTGGACATATAGTTCAGTGGTAGAGTCTCCTTGGGTTCCATGCCTGGTAGTACAATACACACACCACACACACACGCACACACACACACACACACACACACACACAAGCAGGGGTGGAAACCATTGATGAAATAATTTGAGAATACTTCCAAAAATGAAGGAATTGCAAAATCCCCTGAAGTCCCAGTACAATGGATAAAATCAGACCCATACCAAGATACATTGATTAATCGGTCATGAAATAACAGAATACTGGGAAAAAAAGACTATCACACAAGCTTCCAGAGAGTGGGTCAAACTAAGCCACATAAAATGAACTCAGAGGCAGAATGTCTTCATACCTTACAAATCCAACTACAAAAAACAAAAGACAATAGAGCAATTCCTTCAAAGTGCTCATGAAAACCAAATTCCAGCTCAGAATTCTTATACTCGGATGAGCTGCCAATCAATATAAGTGTAAAATAAAAACATTTGCTGGCTGGCAAAGTCTCAAAATGTCCTTATGCACCTTTTCTCAGCAAGCTACTAGAGAACATGCCTCATCATTGGGATGAGGAAGATGTAGCTCAGAGGTAGAGTGCTTGTTTAACATGTGCAGGACTCCAGGTATGATCCCCAGCACTGAAAACAAAACAAAACATAAATACCACCCTACCACCAACAAAAAACCTTAAGCATTAACCAAGAATGGGGAAGTCATAGTAAGAATCAAAAAATGGATCTAGCACACCAGGAAAGAAAAGGGAACCCCCAGGACCACAGGGAAGGGACATTCTAGGCTGAACACGTA